TAGGGAAGAGACATTTTACAAGGTAGCTAATAGAAGTGTTCAAGATTATAAAAGGCTTTAATAAGGTTAACATAAATAGGCTGTTTCCACTGATTGGGGAGTCTGTAATCAGGGACACAAATGTAAGATAGCGACTACAGCTAGGAATGTGTAAAGAACTCATGTAGAATATAAAACCGTTATGGACTTGTGGGGCCAAATGGCCTGTTTCTGTGCTGCATATTCTTTGTAAATAGAGATTTTAGAAACCTGTTTACATTTCACTTAAATTTGAGAGTTTTACCGTTTAGCACAGCCATTAAAATAACTTTCTATGTACAGTGGATTTCATACTCCCGAGCACGGAGAAACCTTAGGACGTTTCCTTACTCCATACGCCTCTGTTTACCCAGCAGCAAGTCGGAACCCAGTTATTAGTCGATTGGGGACTGCTTTCCATTCAAAATAAATAAATAAGAAGAATTTGGTCACTCAAATGTTATGGGACACTGCTGGCACAATTGGCTGCTGCGTTTTTCCCACAATATACAGTCAATTCACTTTACAGAATATTCTGCAAAACGCTTTGAGATGTCTGAATCACTCAATAAGGCTCCTTATCAAATCTAAGGATTATTATTATTATTACTGCAGTATACATTATAAAACTCCTAAACCCGGCAGTAAATTTGTACACAATATCATGGTTTATTCTAGAGAATGCGAATAATATTTGAAGGAAGGGATGTATTTATATAAATTTCTAGTTTAAAAAAAATACATTTGTAATTATTGAAATGTCAGACGTTTATGGCTCCAAGCCTCTCATTGGGGGGGGTGCTGCATTGTTTATCCTTAGTAATTTAGGATAAACTGAGATCTCATCTGCCTGTTAAAGTAGACTGTCTGTCACGTTCATCTACAAAATCCACAATCATTTTACTGTAAATCCTGTGAAGGCAGGGCAAAATCTTGGGCAAGTTTCCTTACTCCACACGCCTAATAATAATCCCTCCAAAACAAAAAACAATAATAAATTGGTAATTTTCAATCCACGACTGTTTGTGGGACACTGCTGTGCGCAATTGGCTGCCGTGTTCGCCCACAAATATACAGTCAATTCACTTTACAGTATATTCTGTGAAGCGCTTTGGGACGTCTAGAAGACGTGAAAAGCGCTATATCAAATGCAAGGATTATTATTATTATAAGAGGCTTGAGTCATCCTCTGATGCAAAAGGTAGTGGAATCAAATGTAGGGATTATATCATTCCCTCCCCTTATCCTTGGATGAAGCGTTATTTAAAATACCATTTACATGATGTGTGTACCTGACAGATGAAAAATGTGAAGGATACATTGAAAATGGAAAACACTTAATAAAATTGAAAACACAAAAAGTGGGTTTGTTTCCAATAAAGTCTCCTAACAGAAGCAACTGCTTGATAATGGTAAATGAACAAATGATATAAATTGACATGCAAATTAATTCAAGACAGCTGAATGCATTACTTTTTGGGACTCTCCAGCCCATAGTACATACAAAAAACTAAAGACAATAAAGCATGGAAATAACTAACTGTACAATTTAAGAGTTTTGTGACAGATGAGACATTTGTAAATAGCATAAAATACCTGCTAAAACACCTAATTGTCTTATTTTGATTCAAATCAATGCAGTGTATTTTAATAGTAAAATTACAATTGTGTGTCTGACAATCACAACCAAAAACATTCTGAAAAGCTTAAGATTTTTTTTTAGATGTGTTGATTTGTACAATTATTGGCACATATGCCTCAAGTTTCATCTGGTCTATTTCCCCTGGTATAAAAAGACAATCTTCAGCAGCTGTAATAAACATAAAGGCCCCCGGTATTTAATCTCTCAACATTACAACGATGCAGGCTCACATTTAGTAATTACTGTACTATCATCTGAGAAGCAAAAGGAAAAGAGAAATTAATTACTTGCCTGTCTATCACAATTTTAAAACCACTCAATTTTCAGTTTGAAATCATTATTTGGAATAATAAAAAATTTAAAAATTCCTGGACCCAAAAATGTTTTTGGTGTTTTAAGGTTTAGGATTTACATCATAGATGTGCTTTGGCAAGAGAAAATTTGACTGTGTACAGTGACACCTAGTGGGAAACATTAAACATGCTAAACTTTTTAGACAATGCAGACTGCTACTTTTATTTCATTTCATTTTGATTATCAATGCTGGGAATGGAAAATATTTCCCCTGCTGGGCAACTGCTGAAAAATCTTAGGTCAAGTTCTGCATGGCAGACCATGTATTACAGTTGTGCCTTTATATCAACCGCAGAGAGCACGTCCTACTGCACCAACATGAAGTTTCCAGTTTACAACACATTGCATTATATAGTCTTTCACATCAGCTTATCATGTGCTTTCTTCTCTAGTAAATGATCAAATTAATATTAATTGAAGTAGTGGGCTCATGTCCACTAGGTGCTGGGTTGAAATTGACATTTATTTCATTTAGGACTTTTACAACAGAAATTTCATCACAGTTTAGGGTAGCCTTTAACCCAAATCCACTATTCTGACCTACCCCACTGATTTAATTCTGAATTTAGCATCATTTTAATCGAGGCACCACAGTAAAAGAGAATTCAGATTTAATAATAATCTTTACATTTCATATAGTGCCTTTCATGTTCCGAGATTGTCTCAAAGCATTTCACAGGGTAAAGTGTAAAATGCAGCAACTATATTTTGTGCACAGCAATGTCCCATAAACAGCCATGAAGTGAATGATACAATTCTTGCTTCTCTTTTTAAATAGTGCCATGGGATTTAAAGTCCTCCTGAATAAGCAGACAGGGCCTCAGTTAATGCTTCATCTGAAGACACCACTTTCAACAATGCAGCACTGAATGGGCGTGTCAGGTTAGACTATGCAAGTTTAAGTCCTGACTTGGGGCTTGAACCCACAACCCTCTGACTGAAGAGGTGAGAGTTCTATCAACCAAGTCAGGCTGATACTCAATTTTAGGTTGTAAGAGGCAATTTCAGGACAGGCCGGCAAGTATTTCTTTAAACAGGAGGTAATTAATAACTGGAAAGGTTATCAGGAAAGATATTCAAGACTAGGCCCAGACTCATTTAAAAAAAAGCTTGATGCTGTGATGGGAGGATTGTAGGATAGGCATTCTGGAAGGACGAGATCGAATAGTCTTATTCATTCTAACCCCTTATAAGACTTGTGATGGTAATTCAAGTTTTGACATTTGTATTGTACATTATGGTCATTCGTCTGGAGGTACAATTAGATATATATTGTAACAAGTATCAAGGGGTGGAAGTGCCCTTTAAAAGGAGCACTGTTATGTGAGAACGCTATATAAATGCAAGTTGTTGTTGCGAGTGGGAAAATTGAGAGGGTATTCTGGGAGCGCCAGAATCCATCAGCCACAAATGAGAGGATTGGGCAAGACACCAACCAGCATGGTAGTGTCCATAAGCTAGGAGACACACTCCCAATCCCTAAGGGTCCTTGTCTCTGACCTATTGGGAAAGAACAGTTGATGGATAATAGTTGGTGGTCTAGATTTAAAAAGCCTACCTGAAAAGGAAGCTGGCCTCTCTCTCGGGGATGGGTGGGGGGAGGGCTGCTGCATGCCAGCTAGATGGATATGGACTCTACAATGGTATCCAAGCCTGTGTACAATAAATCTCAATCTTTATATCTAAACCCGTCTGGATTTCAAGCTCTTCTTCAGAATACGAAACCCCATTACAGTATACTCACACTGGAGTGAAAGAGATTCACCTAAAGTTGGCATATCACACAGGAGCAGAAAAAAAGCTGCTGTTTAAAATATTCAGTCCTCTAAGAGCTTTTTCTTTGACCTTCATTCCTGAAAATAGTGCTGAAATTTACAAGAAGCAAAGGCACCACCTAACAAAAGTCTTGTAGGCTAGTGATTAGAGCACTAGCCTCACAAGCAAGAAATCAGATTTGTTTCTGGGGCGGGGCGAAACCATAGGCAAGTTTCCTTACTCCACACGCCTCTGTTTACCTAGCATTAAGTAGGAACCCGGGTGTTAGTCAATTGGCGGATCACTTTCTGGGGGTAATAATTCATCCAAAAAAAATTATTGAAAAAAATCAGGTCATTCAATCCACAATTGTTTGTGGGATGCTGCTTTGGGCAATTGGCTCCCGTATTTCGCCCACAAAATATACAGTCAATTCACATTACAGTATATTCTGTGAAGCACTTTGAGACGTCTGAACAATGTGATAAGGCACTATATCAAAAGCAAGGATTATTATTATTATAAAAGATATGGTTTCAATCAGCTACAAAACAAAATAGTAAATTAATCCATGCAGAATGTTCTCACTGGATAGATAAACACATTTACAATCAGCTATAGGTGGAGAGTAAAGCGATCTGTATAGTCTATGGAGATCTTTGCAGGCAATGAAGTTGCTTTTACAAGCATATTACTCTGAAGCACTGCAGGACACTGCCTATATAAGAATTATATTCTCACAGGAGGTACAACTGTAAATACTGGAGGTTGTTGTGTTTCATTTATGGAATGTCACAAACTAAGCGCATTTAAGAAAAAAAAATCCTTTAGACTTGAAAATAACTGGAAGTTGAAATAGACACAATATTAGTACAAATTTGTTTCACACACTTATGCAAACAGAACAGGACATACCAATTGTGGAATGAAAAATAGTTAAGCTGGGCCCAAGGGTAGAAGTTCATAGGGCCCAGGAGGAGGAAATGGTGCTGGTTTTGGATGAAACCATATGGCATCAGGAATCTGTGTAGTCTTACCCATTGAATGTCAGGAAAGGTACCAGAAAATGTTCCTAACAGCTTATTTTTTTTACAGCGGATCTAGTGATGTGCTCGGATCAAACATGTTAAAATGAAAGCACTGTTTTAGTTCCTTACAAAATAAAGTTAGTAAATTAATTAATGTGGAATGTTCTCAGTATATACATAAATAAAATTTTACAGCCAAATAATTAATAGAAAAGTATTTCTTTAATATCCTAGAACTGTTGCAGATAAATAAATCCATAGGATAATATTTGTTTTTACTTGTAGGAAATAAAGAGCAAGACAGTAATGATTTTGAGACTTTAAACATGTTTAAGCAGGTGTCCACACTACACGTTCTGTTGGGAGTTCTGCTTCTGATTTCAAACCACCTCAGGGTTACTTCACAGGAAAGGGGGCTGATTAACGTTTCTTCCATGTGAATTTCCTGCGTGCTCCCTCCTGACCAGGCTTCTTCCGTTCCCTCACACGAGGATCAGGAGTCAGCAAGCCAGCTGTAGAAGGAAGTTAAAAGTAAACTGAAACAGTAACTCTGAATTGAAGAAAACATGTTGAAGACTTTATAGATCTTAATATCTATACTTATGAATGGATGTACAAGAAAACAAAAACACATGTTGATTTTACAACTGCCTTGGAACAGTATGTTGCGTTCTGTATCAAAACATCTCAAGTATAAATTTGGTTTTCATTTTTTCATTCTTTGTTAAGAAAAACGATTGCACAAATTTATTGAAACCCCCTCAAAAATATAACTTATTGGAGGATGCAGTTTTGTCAGAATCTTTACTTCAACTGAGCAGGAGAGCTTCACATCAGCCTTTTGCATGTGTAACCATTTACTGTCACTTTTGCTCTATTGTAACTAAGTTTAGGTGACTACTTTAACTCAAGTTTAATCTTGATAAAAAATAACATCGAAAACAGTGAATTACTAAAAAGCTGCTCAACACTGAATTTTAATGCTCAAATTAATTTACATGACTTTTTTGCTTTTTTTCATTACTACAAGTATTTTTCCATTCCCTGTATCAAATTAATATACACATGCTTTCAAAACCAGCACACAAATGCTTCTCAATGAAATACAATTATGGTTATTTGGGGTTGGGATTTTATGCAAAGAAACATTCCCTTGATCAAAGGCTGCAATCATTGCTGCCCTGACATATATGGTCAGTGGCACCTGCTACGGGTTGCAAATAACTTTGGGTTTGAAATTCTGGCTTTTTTACCTTGTCTCATGTGCTCAATCTCATCCTCTTTAATGAAACTAAGCAGAGCGCGAGAAATAGCCAGTCGAATAGCTCCTGCCTGTCCAGAACGCCCTCCTTCTGATACGGTACATTCCAGGTCATGTTTTCCGAGTCGACCCAGGAACTGGATTGGGAACATCAATTGTTCTCTGGAGACCATAGAAAGAAGTTAATGCCAAACCATAGTATTCACTTTATTTTGATGATCTAATTGGATAACTGAAGAATGAGTGAACTAACAATTCAAAACAAAGCTTCAGATAAAAATTATATAACAAACACATATAATAAATCTTGCATTTGATATATTATCACATTTTTGAGACGTCTCAAAGCACTTCATAGAATATACTGTGAAGTGAATTGACTGTATATTTTGTGGGCGAAACGTGGCAGCCAATTGCACACACAGTCATGGATTCAGTGACCAAATTCTTCTTATTTATTTATTTTTGGGAAGGGATTATTAAAAGTGATACGCCAATCGACTAACAACTGGGTTCCTACTGCTAGGTGAACAAAGGTGTTTGGAGTAAGGAAACTTGCCCAATGTTTCTCCCTGCCAAGAATCAAACCCAGGTCCTCTCGCTTGTGTTACTGATCGATTTCCAAATAGTTACTTGGGCAATGATTCGGGCAACTTTTTAAAAAAAATCTGTACAGCTGCATTACCATGTTTTTCAGAGAAAGGTTTCATGGTATTCAATATTAAAGCAATAAATGAATACATTTAAACACATTCTTCTTTAGATGTTTTTTTAGTTTCCCAATAGAAGATTTGCATTCCCAACCCTGCTTCTGTTTGTTCCATGCTACATACAACCAATAGGTACATCACCTTTCTTGAAGCTCTGGAAAATAATGCAAATAGTCTAATCCATTCACAGTTATTTTCCCACTTCCAGGCTCTCGGACTATTACTGTTGCTCTTGAACTTTTTCTTCTACCTGTAATTAAAATTTGGAATCATTAACAGTTTAAACTGTTCTCATGTAAGTACATAGGAGCAAAATGTCAATAAATTGGCATGTGGCCACTACCCCGCTTAAAGAGCACTATATAAAAGCAAAATTGTATATGATGCAAACTGTGTTAAACATTTCTATAACGTAGGTTCATTTTTTGATAGCATTACAACAAAACTTAGAAAGAAATAAAAACAGAAGTCGCTGGGAACACACAACAGGTCCAGCATCTATGTAGAAAAGAAAATGAGTTAACATTTCAGGTCTATGATCTTTCGTCGGAACCTGGAAAGAAAGTTCTTTCAAAGAGCTGGCACAGGCACGATGGGCCGAATGGCCTCCTTCTGTGCTGTAAGATTCTATGATTCCAATTCTTAGTTGAAGGTGAAGGAAAATATCCTTACGTCCTTCAGATCCTCCTGACAGTGCCATGATGAGATCATTCTCATCACATGATATTTCTGATCTTGATATACATCATAGTCTCAAGAGCATTTTGCTTTTAACCCTAAGCTTGAAATGATCAGGAACTTTAGTCTCAGAGGTAGTCTATCCAATGGCTCTGAAAAAATGCATTCAGTAACTGATGACAGACCAGAATTCAAGGAAATACTGAAGCTTTTGGACAGGTCTGCTATTCAGGGGCACAATGCCGCAAGATAGTTGACCTCCCAGGAATTAGAAGAAGCAGATTTAATTGCCACATTATACTCCAGAGTATACACTATACACAGTTGTTTGGGTCCACAAAATTCCAATTAGGATGCGACTGCCATTTTACTCCAGAGTATAATGTGACTATTAAGTTTAACACAGCAGGGTAAACGAAATTCCAACTAGGATGCAATTGTCAGTCAGAAGTTACGAAATTCCAACTAGGATGCAATTGTCAGTCAGACGTTTCACGCTCACTGTGCACACACAGAAAGCTGGCTCGCTTTAAGATACGGACCGGCAACAACGATGACAGCAAGTTGATGACTTGGCAGTCGGACATTTTTAGTGCATGAAATATGGCAGGCATTTTGAAGTGAGCCAGTCAGCTTTCTGCTCACATTTCTGATTTTTTGTTAAGTATATATCAGTGTCCAATCTCTTACATAAGGGAAGTCGCGTTATAATGACGTGCATTACAACAATAAACTTGCTTTCTTTTTATAGCGCCCTTCACACAGGGCAGTATAGAAGGATATAATCTATATCAGGGTTCTATTATAATTGCCTGGCTATATTGAAGAGAATTGTACAGTCTGCGCAGATCCTTCAGATGAGATTAGATTTAATAGACTTTCACGGTCAAAACTTGTGCTCCCCTCTTTGTATGCTTACAATTACGTCAGGATAGACTACCTCTGAGACTATTTTACGAGAATACAAGATCAATTGGACTGCTGATTGTATATTTATTTGATAGGTTCGTATCGTACCAATATTTTGAATTGGTTTGACACAAAAACTGGATCAAATAAATACAAAAACAGCATTCCGATTAACTGACAAGAATTGATCTATGTATGAATGGACGTACCAGAGCTGCCTCAGACCACATCAAACAGGTAGTCTCAGACTGGTTTGGTTGTGGTAAAATTGCAACTGGTGCAAAGCAATTTTTTTCTAGTTAAAACTCATTTAAGTGCCCAATGAACTAACCTTTTCCTGTTAGTAAATAACAAATTGTTACATTGGTTCTCCATTAGTAAAAATCATCCACATTGGGATGCTGCTGGCGGAGCTCCTTATATACAACAAATACTGCAGTGGAGCAGTGGCATAAGGTACTAACCATCCACACTGCTGTCAAAGAGATACCAGTTAGAAACTAGTGTCTGCACGTCAAAGGCAACAGCATCAATGAATAGTGGGTTTGGGAAGAGTTCTTTTCTATGGCTGGAACAACCACTTTTGTGGATAGCCAGTACCGCACTTTACAAACTTAGTCAGATTTGCACAGCGAGGGCAAATTCTGTTGTGAAGGTTATATTATTTGTAGTAATCACACACGCTCATCAGCACTCAGTCAGACTTGTACTGACTTGCATGGCTTCTCATAATCCAGCTGTGATCTGAAACCAATAACTGAGATTATCATTCAGTTTTCATCACATTGAAAAAGTGAGATTTCAAGCAGTCTGGTTTCATTTACATTACTGAAGAGTTCAGAATTTGTGAACCATATGCATCACCAGCACATGCAACATGGCAAACTTTAAGCACGAGATGAAGCATGACATTCAAACAGCTGGGGTGCAACCAAACTCCTTCCTCACAAAATCTTTCTTGCATTAGTTGCCATCTGTTGAGTTACTTCAGTAACATTCATGTCTTTAAAGTATGCAATACTAATAATAACCCACATACACACAGTTCAAAATTGTCTTTCCACTTAGCTGAAGACCGCGTTGCATTATTCTCCTTAAAAATATAGTTATATTGGCAGGGAGAAGAGTGGATGTTAGTTATTAAAATCTCTGGAATTTTATTTCAATCAATTTATGAAGGTAATCCTCATACCCACCTGATTTGTGTTATATCTAGAATGTGTGATCTGTGTGCAGTTATTTTTTTGAAAAAAAGGCAGCTCTTCTTATCCAGCAAAGTAATAATGTATGATTGAAAGGGTATGGAAGACTCAATGTTAGTAAATTAAGAAAAGTATCAGCGTTCGGACTTGTCATCAGAAGTGAGGATCGAGGGTGCTTGAGAGGGGTCGCGGAGGAGGTGCTGGGTATTGGAGAACAGGATTTTGGGGTTGGTTTTGGCATCAGGAATGACCTGTGAGTAAAAAGTATTTTGAGCTTGAGAGAGGGAGCGGTGGTAGGTATGAAGATGCTTGAGCCACAGTTGGCGGTGAATCGTGAGGCTGGTTTTGTGCCATTTGTGCTCGAGCAACCAGTTTTGGGATTTGAGGGACTGGAGAAAACTGTTGTACCAGGGGGAGCGGGTAGGCTTGGAGATGTGGACCTGGTTTTCAAGAGGGCAAGAGGAATTGAAGGTTTAGGAGAAGTGATCGATTGTTCTTCCAGTATGAGGTTCTTGGATTGTAAGAGCTTTATTTGAGAGGGAGAGAAAAATTTTGGAGGCTAATGTGAGTGGGGGTGCAGGCGGAGCAGCATTTGGAGCTCGTTGTAGATTATGGAGGGGGGGAAAACGACTGTCGAGTATGAGGGGGGAGAGTTGGGAAGGATGTGGATGAGGGAAGTGGGGTTTACCTGTCGGAGGTGGGCGATATGGCAGTCGGGGTGGGTGCTCTGGGAAAACCATAGCTGAGTACCATGGTGAGCCTGGTGGAGGATGCCCAGGCTGGAGTAGAGGGAGGCTGGGGGAGGGTACAGGAGAGAGAGAAGACGGGAAGGACTCTAGGAGAGAAGGACTGAGTGGGAGTAACGAAGGGTGGAGAGTAGGAGCGGGGGCATTTTGGGAGATGGAGGCTTGGATCTGAGCGGTAACCAAACACGCAACCCGAGACTGGGAAAAGAGCGATCAGCAGGACATCATCAGCCAGCAGGCATGGCAGGGCTAGGGGAGACAGCATGGAGGGTAGTGAGGGGGATGGACCAAAGCCAGAGAGGGTGGAAGATTGTGGCCGGGTGGGGAGGAGGTCCAGGAAGAGATGAGGGATAGAAATAAAAAATCCACCTGTGTATTTTTCAAGCTTCTGGGATGCTACCCCCGTGAATGGCACTATATTAAAACCTTAAGTATGTTTCCTTACTACACACGTACAAACACCTCTGTTTACCTAGCAGGAAGTAGGAATCCCTTTATTAGTAGATTGGAATCCTGTAGCTCAGTGGTGAGAGCACTCGCCTTGCAAGCAGGACACCTGGATTCAATTCCAGGCAGGGCAAAACCTTGGGCAAGTTTCTTTTCTCCACACATCTAAAAATAATCCCTCCAAAACAAAACAATAATAAATTGGTCATTTTCAATCCACTACTGTTTGTGGGACACTGCTGTGTGCAATTGGCTGCCGCGTTTTGCCCACAAATATACGGTCAATTCTCTATACAGCATATTCTGTGAAGCGCTTTGAGACGTCTAGAAGACGTGAAAAGTGCTATATCAAATGCAAGGATTATTATTATTATATAAATGCAAGTTATTGTGTTACCTTCTCCTTTGCTGAAGGCCACTCCAGTCTCATCAAACTGCAAAGGCTCAATTATCTGATTCTTAGATTGAACTTCCATCTCTCTGCGGAATTTCATCACATATTCTTCCTCAATGTTGCAGTATGGAGAAGACAGCATCCGCTCCAGTAACTGAATAAAGTGCACATACTGTTCAAAGAAGAAAAGGGAAAACTAATTTTACCAGAGAGAGAGATTAGCTCTTGATTACCATATAAATAGCAGGACAATATCAAATGCAAGAATTATTAAAATTAAACAAATCATCTCTCCCACACATCTTAAAACACATTTTTGCTGTTAAACAGTAGTTCCAAAACAGGAAACTGGGCGATGTACTGTTCAGATTTGGATTGGGAAAGTAGTTTCAACAATTTTCAGTAATACACCACAAAACCAATTTTAGAACAAGACAATGAACAACTCAGAAAGCTGCCTTTAATTACCTGCCCTGAGTGAAAGTGAAGCTTTATTGTGTACCTGATTTATTTGGAATTATAGTTATTATATTTATTTGGAAGGTATGCTGTTACGTCTTTAGAACCAAATAAATATGGATAACAATGACATTTACATTCAGTTACAATATCAACGTTTGCAAACAAAATATCAACTTGATTTTTTAAAAACAATTTAATTTCTAAGGAATCTTCCTGTAGCTGCACAACATCCTTTGTTAGGTGGAAAACATGTTTTAGCCTGAAGTCATTTCCGTGGATGTCAAACCTTGTCACCCACCATGAAGCATTCTTAATTAAGAAGATGCCTACTTCTTCCTTTCCAATGTAGCTATCGGGCTATCTTGTTCCTTTCCTTCAAAACTTTTAAGGGGATCAGGGAATTAGAAGAAAATTCATATCCTCAAAATAAAAATAAGAAAAAATGTAATTCAAACTCCACTGTTGTATCATCAGTCTTTCTAAAACTTGTTTCACACTCATTGAACAAAATTGCTTCTTGCGCAGCATTCATTGTATGTCAGCCTCGAAGCTGGTATCACTCTCAGCTCTGAGTTGGAAAGTTGGAAACTCAAGCCCCCCTTTCAGGACTTTGATCTCATAGTCTAAGTTTGGTCACTCACTTTATAAATAAAAAAAATTGTTATAGAAAATTTCACATTGGGAGGATGTCTCAAAGCACTTCACAGAATTTTACTGTAAAGTGCAGACTTCTATGCATCAGACTGGATACCTGTTGGCCTGATGTTGCCTAATGCTGTTGTAGGCATCTGAAATGGCACAGTGTTCCAGTTCCCAGCACTAACAGCCCTCACTTTGATCACCGAATGGTTTATGAAAATATTAATTCTTATACTTTTTCATATTCATTCTGAGCATGAAATTAAGCTAAGAGAGAAAATCAGATATTAAAAATCAGTCCTGACGCAACAGAAGGGGAACAAACATACAACCACTACAGAGCAACTAAGAATGTCATCTAGTATGATCAAATTATTTGTTTAAAGCAGACAGAACCTCCAGACCACCAATCTACCAGCAATGTCTAAAATAGCTGGACAAGTGACAGTCAATTAAAATAAAAAAGGGCTTAATTCGTCATTAGCCTTCTTGCTGGGCAAGTGCAAAAATTTAATTAACCCAATTATAATGTAGTATTTCTGATCGATTTGATTAACCAAATATATACACATACGTACCATGATATACCAGACTGTAACAACAACAACAAAATTACATTTGTATAGTGCCTTTCATGTTGGAGGATGTCCTATAAACCTTTCTCTCAAGTATCAACAAATGGTACATGAAAGCTCCTCATATTGGATTCCACATCGGGTTTCTTAAGATCTCAAGAAGAGTCATATCTTAGTTGACATACTGCAATCGGTTAAAGTTAAGAGTTTTGAGATCTAAGAAATATAATTTTGACTATCCTCTTTCAGGGTGAAGGTGGGGTTGAGAGAAAGAGGTAAGCGGGGTCTTCTTGTAGCTTTGAACTGGCTCGATAATCGGTACTGGCATTGTAAATGTTTGAATCCTGTGAGCATAAGATAGCGGATAACTATCTTCTGCTCGTGGGATTCAAACCGAGTCAAAATTAATATCTCTGGCCCCTAAAGGTCAGCAAGGCCAGTGAGGCGGGGGAGTGCGTTAGGAAAGTGGGCTGGAGGGAGTCTACACGTGGGCCGTGGATTTTTTTGGGGCTAGGTATGAATTCCAGATAACAACAACTTGCATTTGTAAAGTGCCCTTCACGCTAGGACACCCAGAGGCCAGTAAGCTGGGGGTTTACTGTGCTGTTTCCTCAAATTTCTAACGTGTAATTAGTTGATATTGTGATCTTGATATAATTTTCACATACCATATTTTTGCATGCTATAGGTTTTCATCTATCATTAATATGAGCTAAGAGAATCTAAAAGATTAATAACTTCTATCTGTATTACTCTCAGTCGAAATATATCCAGGATTTTTATGTTATCAAAAGTAGTTGTGATCCACTGATTCCTTGAATTCCTTCTTTTAGAAGTTTACACTTGTTGGTGCAGCTTCCATCCATTCTTTAACACATTACTCTTTATTTTATAGTTCAATTGTTAAATTCAGCTAGATTTCTTTGCAATATACTCCTATTTCAAATACACTATGTAACAAAAAACTCACGTCATGGTCAGAAATTGGTTCCAGCAGCAGCTTTTCCAGCTCATCTTTTGTCAACCACCTGCCTCCAACTAAATTTCTATTGGAAAGAAAACAAAATCCACTGAATTCAAGTAACTCACTGAGATTTGCCACTGAATGTAAAAAAGCTCATATTTACTCCAATGATACAACTGAATCTTTTCTAATTTGAATATGGGTATTAATAGATTTCTACCTTTACACACAAGTTGAATTTGATTTTTAAAAGTGGAGGAATCTTTCTTGTTACATGCTGGATAATACTAATCCTTGCATTTGATATAGCGCTTTTCACATCTTCTAGATGTCCCAAAGCGCTTCACAGAATATACTGTAAAGTGAATTGACTGTATATTTGTGGGCGAATGCGGCAGCCAATTGCGCACAGCAATGTCCCACAAACAGTCATGGATTGAAAATGACCAATTTATTATTGTTTTTTGTTTTGGAGGAATTATTATGGATGAAGCAAGGTGATCTTGACATGGGCCAGTGTTAAGACATTGCTTTCTCTTGATGTCATAGTGAACAATTAATACAGCCCTACTGGGACTCATGGCTTTTCGAGCTTCCATTGGTTTTTATTCTCACTCCAGAAACATTCACATTTTAAGCATGAGAGGCTGGATTGGCTGCAGTTCCTAGCATTGCCTCCCAAGTCAGGTTCACTGTAAAATCAAGAGTTCTGACCTTCAATATGGAGTCACATTAACTCAAAAAAGAAGTGTAAGCACCAGTTGGAAAATCAACACTTGCAGAGTCCAACAGAAATAAAATATGTCAACTATGTTGCAAAACTACTATGAAGGCCTTTCATCCAAGTTGTACTTTTGGAGATAGACATTGATATATTGAGGGTGCCCCAAAAAATCAAAAACCCGAAAGGATTGGACATTTGTTACTCTGCTAAATAACTTCTGGTAGAATAATAATTCTTACATTTGATTTAGTGCTTTATCATGACATCAAAACATCGGAAAGCACTTCACAGGATTTACTGTTGTGTAGTAACTTTGTACATTGTAGGCAAATACAGAAACCGACTTGTGCACAGCAACGTCCCAAAAAATGGCATAAAATGAACAATTTTACCTGGAGGTTTGATGGTCACAACATCAACTTTTTTTTCTGCTAGAAAATAATATCTCAGGATACAGTATATAGTTTGGGACACAACATGTCAAGTGACTGGCAGGATGGTAGTAGGTGAACTAGATACACCTTGGTCTTCTTTCACCTAGCAAGGTCTTATATTCTTAGCAACTTGCATTTATGTGGTGCCCTTCACTTACAAAAACTTAAGATAATGTCTCAAAGCCCTTCACAGGGGTGGGATTGGAATTTGAGCAAGGTGGAAGGGGGATGGGGAGGTGACCACAGGCGTAGTGGAAGAGGTAGGTTTTAAATTGGGATTTAAAGATTGATAGAGAGGCGGTGAAGTGGAGGGATAGAGCAGGGAGTTCCAGAGGTTGGGGGTGGGGGGGGAAATAATGACTGAATGCTTGGCCATTGGTGGAGCCTTTTAACCAGGTGGTCATTTACAATTTTGCATTAAGTCTGTAGCATAGAAATTATTACTGGAATACGGAATTCAGACTTCAGCCAGTCGATAAACATGCCATCACTGGGTGCAGCAAATGTCCTTCAAGTCTCTACTGAACACATCATTTGGCATCATTCGCACACCAACCTCAAGCTCCAGGAAGCCACCAACACATATAATGACTATAGTAGACTGGAATAGAAGGAAAGCTGTAGAAAATTCATTCACATCAGTGTCAATGATTCATTACTAGACACAGCAGGCAATGCATTTTCCTGGGTGATATGAACGAGAACACAACTTTTAATGTTCGTGGGAGAAGGGAGACTTAGGGGGTCCTATGGACAGTTTTCAACAAGCCCAACATGACAAACAATCACAGCTTAATGAAACAAAAATTGCATTTTACGTTTCCAGACAATCTGATAAAGCATTATAGTCCTGAAGTACCAAACCAGTTTATAACCAGAAGCAAATTTATGGGCAGTTTTAAGCATACTCATTTTCATAAAAAACTCATGCGTCTGCTGAGACAAAGTCACTTATCATATCTGGTGAAAAACTAATTGAGCTTTTAAATTATTGAAGCTACAAATTAGTGCTCCAAGATGGAATCTATGAACATATGGTAGGATAATTCCTTGTAAGCCCATTATCCAAAGGAACAGTGCCTCAGCAGACAAAGTCATTTATCAAGATTGGTGAAAATCCAAGGAGGTGGTTTAAAGTTGTTGTGGTGACAAATCGACGTTTAGGGACATTAACAGATGTAGAGAGAACTCCCAACACGCCTGCTTACGAAGGGAGCCTGATGAGAAGCAATTTATCAATTCTGGTGAAAACTAAAATTTATTGGGGCGACAATTTACTGTTCATGAACAAACATTTAAAATCCAGTTCTTTTTGTGATGATAACAGTAAATAGTAAAAGATGATATACGATAGATGAGGAAAGGCACAAGTAGAAAAACAATTTTAGGTTTGATTTACTTGAACTATCCAGAAGTAATGGGGATCTGATATGGAGTATTTTTTTAAATGGGATTCCATAACAAGAAAACTGGAAGTACTTCATAGTTTTCGCAAGAACTGTGCTCTGAAAGTAGATTGTGTTGGAGAAGAGTTATTTCACCCAGGTATCTAGTTACTGGAAGGTCCCAACTTAAAGATTCATTGTTAAATGATCCTATTAGAAATTGCCTCTATTTGACCCCATTTAGTTTGCAACCATAGTCTTTGGGATTTCGAATCAATATATATGCTCCCTCAACTAATCTACATGTTCCCCCTTAGTGACTGTGGAGTCCTGTAACTCAGTGGTTAGAGCACTGCAAGTGAGAGACCTGGGTTTGATTCCCAACAGGGCAAAATTTGGGTGGATCGTTTTTCCAGGGGTAATAATTCCTTCAAAAAAAATTGGTCACTCAATCCATGACTGTTTGTGGGACACTGCTGTGCACAACTGGCTGCCGCGTTTCGCCCACAAAATATACAGTCAATTCACTTTACAGTATATTCTGTGAAGCACTTTGAGATGTCACGAAGATGTGATAAGGCGCTATATCAAATGCAAGGATTATGATTAATATTATTATTTGCAGACACAAGAGTAAAATTTCACACGTCGTCTCCACTTACCTGTCGGACATTAAGCTCTAGATGAGCCTCAAAAAACCTGGACAAGACTAAATTTCCTTTAGCACAACATGAAAAAATGAAAGCCACCTTTCGTGGCTCCCAATCTCATTGCCACCAGAGTCAGTTCCCTGCCTTGGTGCATGCATGTGTGTTTGGGGAAGGAATTTCTCAAAATGTGGAATCATTCAATAATGTTATTTTTTCATCCCACTTCTAAAAATACACCTGTTTTAATATAGATCTATAAGGCAAATAAACGCCACTGTTGATATTTTATTTGATATAATTAATAAATGCAATATGTCAAATAATGCTCAAAACTAGATTTACTGGGCATACTAGCACTAACTGCATAGTGCTAAGCAGCATTACACAGAGGTCTCGAACAATGTTAGTAAATTTTGTCACCATGATAGTCTACAGCATGTAAAATGGCAGGGTCCAAGTTTCTTAGGGAACTTACATACTCTACAATACCAATTCCAAGTCTCAATAGAAAACCCTCTTAATGGGAACTCCCTGACAGCAATGAAAAAAAGGTTAATATTTTCTCCCATTGTTCCTTTAGCTAAACGGTGTAGAATACATTGTGAAAAGAAAATCCCAACGATAATGTTACATTTTCAACTTTAAAACTTTCCCATTAAAATGGAAATGGATGGCATAATACCGACTGTTTTTGAAATAATAAAATATATCTTAGCATTTACTCAATTATATCAGCTTTTATAACAATAATAATTCTTGCATTTGACATAGTGCCTTATCACATTGTTGAGACGTCTCAAAGTGCTTCACAGAATATACTGTAACGTGAATTGACTGTATTTTGTGGGCAAAACGTGGCAGCCAATTACGCACAGCAGTGCCCAACAAACAGTCGTGGATTGAGTGACCAAATTTTTTTTATCATGAATGCAGATAACTTCTCCACTACATTATTAATTTTTAACAAAGATGATAAGAAATCCAACCTAGCTTGTGAAAGAGTCCATTAAACTCCATGAAGGACATCAGAAAGGTTAACAACTTTTTCCTCCACAAACATGAGAGAATTTGAACTTTTATGTTGTATGAAGAGGTACAAGATTCACCATGGCCAAATGGTTCATGCGCCTTGTGGCGTTAATTCAATTCTGAAGCTTGAGATTGAAACCTGACGGAAACAAAGAACTAAAACATGAACTTTTCTTCTTTCTAAATAAGTGAAAAGGAGTTTTACAGTCTGAATATAGTGACTCTTTTTTGCAAAAACTAGTCTGTCCATCTAAGAAACAAACCCAACATGCTTCAGTAGGGGGCACCTCTTCTAAAGGTTGTAACTGACTATAATCAGATCAGTACAAATAAAGTTTTTCTAATCTTGTCATTTCCAGGTTTGGGTGATACCCCATGGCCCTCTGGATCGCCAGATCTCACTGCCCCCAATTACTTTTTGTGGGGTTATTTGAAGTCACTAATTTTCAAAATCGGCCACAATCAATAATGGCGCTGAAAGACAATATCAGAGACGCTGTGCAGTTTATTCCAGCCGAAATACTCAGGAAAGTATTGGAAAATATCATTATACATCATCATGAATGTGTAGATGTACAGGGTAGTCATCATTACGATATTATTTTTAGAAGTAGTTTATTAGAACATAACAGCAAATTCTGTACTTTTGTTCTTTTTTAATGCACTGAACACTGTCTTTGAAGAAATAAAGTAATTAGTATTAAAATAAATGATACCATGACTTTTTGGTCACCCCATAGAAATTTGTTAAAATAATGGATATCGCCTTTATTTCACCCACAAAATATAGTCAATTCACCTTACAATATATCCTGTGAAGTGCTTTGAAATGTCTCAAAGATAAGACACTATATCAAATGCAAGGATTCATATTATTATTATATGATAAATTGTACCAGATTATGGATGTTCTACATAAACCTTGGCTTGTTAGATGTGCATTGATAATATTTTGTATAAATTTAGAAAAACATTTCAGGAATATTAAATTAATCTATAGATTTCTGGGTGTAGAATATTCAATCTATTGAATACATGATTCACAAAACAAAATTTCAAGTGCAACATTCATCACTGGCATAACCTTGCACAAAGACTCAAATATTACTGAGCTATTGTAGTTTATCAAGGTTAAATCTTAATCATACAGCAGCTTTGCAAAATAGCTTTAAAAAATAAAGCAACATTTAAAGAAGCTCACAATCCTTAAACATAAATAGCTTAATGACGCACTTGCATATTCTACATTAAACAATTAACAAACTTTAAAGGCATTATGAACAAACACAAAGACTGGAAAATTGTTAATTAGGTTTAAAAGATTTTGCAAGACTGAAAATTTAGACAACATGGCAAATACATACAAATGACTTATTAGGGAAGTAATTACTACATATCAAAATTGGTTAGTTATTCTAATCAGTGTACTGTATGCAGTTCTGTCCCAATTTAAGAGATGAAAAAGAAAATTGGTAATTGAAACTGGCATTTTTCAACTTGTGAAGATTACAACAGCTGCTCAAAGCATCCGTTTTTTCCATATAAAAAANTACAAACATATTCATCATATTAGTACATTCAGTTTTGTCACAGTGTTGGATCTCAAATGACCATCACTCCTCTAATTTGTTTATTCCTGCAGACAGTAACTTACATTTGTTTTGTATCTAGAGATGATATTCCTTTGGCCCTCATCTGATCATCATATTTCTGGATGTTAAGGTATTTTTGAAAGGTATCCTAGAGAAATGAAAGAATATTTTTTTATATGAATCGCAATAATTTTAAATTTAAGTTACAATTTTTCATGTCTTGCACCACAATCTCAATTAACAGAAAACTAACTTGTTCTATATTTGAGGTTCATCAATATTTAAATATGAACAGGAATTGATTGATCTATCTTAGCAATACTTCTAAACTAAATATTTTAAGAAACTAAAGATTACATATGACAAAGCACAGACTGTAAGCTTGAAGCAAAGTTTCAACAAACGGAAACTATAGCTACACATTTTAAAATCATTTACATGTACTTGTAAAGGTCTATTGAACAACTTAGTATACATAGTTGTATATAATTTAGTATACATGGTTGTTTTTGAAAGCCTCAAACACTACAAACAGATACTACACTGAAGAAATGCCACAAAATCTCAATTACAAACTACTGGGTAACATAGTTATACATACACAAGTAACATGTACACACTGCTGTTTCACTGCTGACATAATTACAAACCAAAATAATAATGCCATTCATTTAAGATCAACTTTGAACAGGGGAGATCCCAAAGATAAAGTGCTGTAAAACATCAATTAGATTACTAAACATACATTTCTCCCTGACATCAGATGCCAAATTAGTTTTAAATATGAAGACTTGCAGGTGGCACTAATTGATATACTAATCTGCTGAGCAACGCTAAACAGGGGAGAAGGTAGGTTTGTGCCCAGATTCTCCATAAAACCAATTCCAGATCTCACAGAAACTAGGGATTTGGTCAGGTTTTTAAAAAAAATGTGGTCACTCAATCCATGACTGGTTGTGGGACATTGCTGTGCGCAATTGGATGCCGTGTTTCACCCACAAAATATAGTCAATTCACTTTACAGTATATCCTGTGAAGCGCTTTGACATGTCTTGAAGATGTGATAAGGCACTATATCAAATGCAAGGATTATTTTTATTATATGAAAGACAACTTACTTTTGAAGTCTTGGAAATGATTAAGCAGAAATTTAAATTTCAACATAGAGGGGAAATAGTTGAATATTTGGAATTTCAGAGAAAAGAGGAAAAAGTATGTATATGTATGTGGGAATGAAAAACAGACAGCAAATAGTTAGCACTTAGACTGCTAATAGTTGACTGGTTACTACAGATCTGAAAGGCTGTTGTCTGGAGTTTTAAACAAAAAGGGGGGGGGGGAAGAAGGATAGGAAAGTACAAATTGAAAGATCTTTATAAAGTCACGACTGTGTGCCTGAAACTGACCGCTGTATTATTACAATTAGGTATTGTTTCATCACTGCTAAAAGAATCATTTGACATCACTGAAATATCTTTGAATTCATGTTTTATGAATTGCAAAAGAACAAACATGATACTTTTAAAAAAAGACAGCAATAGGCAAACACTAACAATAATAAAAATGTTTAATTACACATTATTCAACTAATATTTTCCTTCTCTTTATCCCAGCAAGATATCACTTTAAATTTCAAAAAGTTTCAAGATGAAAAGAATACACAGTGGGATACTGCAGGATAAAGGTCATATTTCATATTTCATTCAGTTAATTCAACACATGGGGTGATAGGAGCATTAGAAATAGTTCTAGTTAGCAACTTAAATTAATTGAAAGCAAGAAGGCTCTTTAATGCTTCCAGTTGCAAAATCGTCCTCTTTTCATTAGACTGGGGTGAGTATAGCATTCTGTATGTGCATCACTGTGAAGAGATGAACTTGTGGCTGTCAGATACTAAACTGCACCCCTACTAACTGTATTAGTGCATAAAAGAAATAATGGAGAAATATGTTATTTGGGTGCTCGAGCTAGATGTGCAGTTGTTCGTCAACAACTTGTTTATGGATTGTAAATTATTAGTTAGTAAATTATTGGTTAGCAGATCTAGATGTGAAATGCCTATGGACAGATTTGGCATACTGATGAGCATAGGGTGACAGGCATGTGAAGTTTCATGCAGGTAAAGATGCAGGAGACAGTGTTTTGGATGAGCTGGAGCATGATAAGACCACTGAGGGTCGCATTTGAAAAGTGAATCTGGAGGTGATGAAGGCATGATGCGGAACAGAGGAAGATGGCTTCAGTCTCATCTATACTGAAGAAAATTGAGTCTGATCCAGAACTTGATAACCGTCAGTCAGGCAGTCAGAACATCAGTGGATCTGGAATCAAGGGAAGACATGGAGACAACCTCATGTTTGTGGATATCACTGTCACAAGGAGTAGCATGTAGGTGACCAAGAGAGGACTTGAGATGGAGCTCTGAGCTATATCATGGGTGACCACGAGGGGAATAACTCATGAGCTTTTTATGTGGAATTTTTTGCTTTGTCTGGAATGGAGTGCATATCTTCCCCCCAGTATTAGGAAAATATTAGGTCCAGGTTTGCAGGAGCCACAACTTGGGGATCCCAGAGTGTGCATTGGAAGTACTGCTGGAGTTTACCTAATGCCACTCGGCTTGCAATTGCAATCAGCAAACTTCCTGACAACCTAATTCATTGGTGTTAGGATTGCATGTTTAACAGGAACCAAGTAGGAATAATCCCTGGCTCCAGTCATTGGTCTGCATCTCCAAGTCTCGTTTACGAGCCAGTCATCTGGTTAGTCAATCATCAATAGTACTGCGGAGGATTACAGACCTGCCTTGCTCAGGAATCTAGTACCGAGACTGTGAAAGAGGTTGACTCAATTTCAATATTCCATTGCCACACATGTCATCTAGGAGGTAGCTCAGCCACAAAGAGACACTGCTTAAGTCACTATTGTACAATGCTAAAGGTGGAGGGGGGGGCAGCAAGTATACTAAAGGAGAGGATGGAAGTGGATATATATATTATATTATTAATTGTACCAGTTGCAGCTTCGCTTGCAACCAAAGGATCCAATATGGAATGTAAATTGACACACAGACATTTCGTCTTTATCTATCCTCAGTAGGAGGACTCCTTTAATATATTTTCTCAGTCCCTCTCTCTGTTTCCCTCAGTCTTTCTCTCTCAATCTCCCTCTTTCTCTGTCTGTCTGTCAATATCTCTCTGTCTCACTTCATAATATATTTTCTTTCAGTCTCTCTCTCTCTCTCTGGCTTTCTCCATCTATCCCATAAGGGAGGATTCCAGCTCCCATGACAACCAGAAAAAAGTGCCATGCATTTGTTGCAGAACATGGATGCATCTCTCTGAATAATGTGTGCTTTCCTCTGTCGCTATGCAGTTGCAGAATACGGTGCATACCTCATATTTTTGGGGTTTAATTGAAGTATTTTTTAATATAGCTCATCAACGATAGGAGATACCCCGTAAAAAATATGCCCATGACACTGCTGGATGCAAGACCTTTCCGATGAGGTACAAAATATGTCTCTACGTCAATCGATTATAACCAGATTGTCAGATACACGGACACATAGACAGACAGAGTTGTTTTATTAGTATATATATATATATATATATATATCTATATATAGATAGAAGAGTAGAATTTGTTTAAAACCGAATCATTGGTGAGTTAGATTAGAGTGGTTCAACCTTTCGGCTGTCGAGGGCCGAATTCCCTATTAAAAGTCCACAGGCTGCATAACCAGTATTTTGTGTTTCCCTTCCAGAAACATAACAACATTGACACAGCAACTTTTTGATGTTGGGAGGACATTTTAAAGCGCGTGACACTGTTGGCTGGGCACCTAAGTTGGCGCCAAGAGAGGTGAGATGGGGAGGCGGAAAGATAACCGTAAGCATGGTCAAAAAGTTAGGTCGAGACATGGCTTGAAAGAGGGGAGGGAGTGAGTCGGAGGGACTCAGGGAATAGAACTCCAGAGAGAGGGAGCAAAATGACGTTGGTGGTGGGATATTAAGCAAATTAGCCTGTAGGCTGTCAGTTGGACCCCACTGAGTTAGATGATTTTGATATAAAATGTAGCCTTTTTTTAACCTTACAATTGAAGGCCACAGCATGCAAGCTATAAACTGCAATTGTGTGAAGAAAATATTCATTAGCACATGCTCAGATTTTGAAAGGGCATGTCAGACAGGCTACAGAGGAGGAATATTACTCTTTTTCAGTTAGCAAAATGTGACTCCAATTGGAAAACTTTACCCTTCAGTGGTCCATTTTGAAAACCTTATGAATTTGGACTTCTAATTGAAGGCATGTCAGATTGCCACTTGCAATTGAAACACCGGGGCTGCATACTTCTATTAATTAGGCTGCATGCCAAGTCAATCTTCTTTTGATACCATTCTCTCCATCTCGCTAGTATCCTAGAAAAGGAAATTAAATCAAAGCATACATACTTGCACTAGTTCTATGATATATCATTCAGTTATCAATGCACTTCATTAAAAATATCAGCCCCTCCAAAGATACTTGGAATTCTTCAGTGAATTTGTAGGCATTCTGAAATGCTGTTTCCCACCTAATGAAATGTTTGAACAAAATAACCATTTTTGCCATTTGTCTTTAAATGCAATCTAAAACCCACTAAGAGGAGTGCCTCATTTGCATGTTTCAATCAGTACTCTCTTTCCCAACTAGTAAGTCACATGCCAACTGCAAAAGTAAGGGTTTGCACATTTCGGAACTCTTTCTGAAACTGCAATTGAGAAACCATTTCTGAAACGATGACCAATTTATAGTTGTTGAAAACAGTAGCCTATCCTTATGTAATCTAACTATTCAATGAACTTTGGACTACAACAATTAAGCAGAAATAATTTATTGATCCCCATTTTATACTATGAATAATTCTGGGAGAGAGCCTTTGAAGAAACAGAAACTGTGCACTAAACCTTTAAGGTTCAATCTAATTCTGGCATGCTCAGTTTTTGAGTCTGTTCTGCAAATACTTCTTTTTTAAAAAAACTGCTAATCCAAAATATACAGAAGGCAATGGAAACAACTAATTGAAGATACAATTTGAAAGTTTAAATGATGATTGAATGGAAAGTTAAACGGCATAATTTTCCAGGCAGGCAGTGTTCTGCCCAT